TTAAAATTCTTTTTATAAATTAATTTATTTAATAATATGCAAAATTATATAAAAAAATTATTTACAAGTTTTGTTTTTTCTTTCACGTGCTGTGAATGACAAGTTACTTTCCATAGAGGAATTTTCCATTTTCGTTTCTTCCATTTTTGGGAAATTTGGCGGATGGGATTGCGCAACAAGCCAACAACAATGCAATACCCTGAAGTCAAAAGACAACATTACCCCTTAAGTTTCCGTTACTCATCCAGTCTAGGTGTCCAAAAAGCAAAACAGAATGGGTCCAAAGGACGACACCTGTCCGGACCAAATAAAGCGTTACATCCCATTCTCCTCAGGAAAGCCCCAAATTTCAAGAGCTTTCAATCCCCTGCGCACACACACACCCGTTGTACGTCACAAGGGTGGTGGTACAGGAGAACTCTTTTTTGTATAATTTTTTTTATAATTTTTATAAGATAAAACTCTTAAATTTATCTTTAAAGAATATTAATAGGTTATATTTATTTTTTTAAAAAATAAGGATAAATTACCTTTTAAAATTATAAATTAATATAAATTATCTTTTTTTCAAAGTTTTTCATCAAAAAATATTAACGTGACAAACAAAATTTTGATGTTTTTCGTTAAAAAATGAGTTATTTATATTGATTTATAATTTAGAAGAACAATTTATCTATTTTTTTAAGAGTGAATATGTCTTTATCGATATTTTTTTAAGATAAATTTAAAAGTTCTACCATTTTTATGAAGTGTATATTTAATATTAAAAATTTTAAATATATAAAATAAATAAATTATTTAAATAATACATAAAATTATTAAAAAGTAAAAAATTTACCCTTAAATCATTAAAGAACCTCGAATTCTCCATCATACCAATCCAACTGCTCATCTCAATAAAATGATACAATAATTAAAAAATTGAGATTTTAAATTAAAAATTTTCAGAAGTGATTTGAAAATGGGGGTACAAATTAAGAAAAAATCTACGGTCCAGAATTCTTCAGGGCTTCCTCTGTGAGCAATCACACGGTATCCATAGTCCAGAGAAATCCTTAAACGTCCGTGACGGAAGTATGATGAGATGCCAGGTGTCTCAATCTTGGACTGTCCTTTTCTGGCACTTTTTGGTGCCTTTTGGGTTTTTTTGAGTCACCACCCTCAAAACTTCACACTATATCCAGAGAAAAAAAAAAAAGAAAAACCAGAGAAGAGAAGAAGAGTGAAAAAAAAAAAAAAAAAGTTTTGATCTTTAAGCTGTTTCCGAAGTCCAATGGCGTCCAATGCAAATGAAAATACCTGCTTTCATTGCAAAGTTGCTACTGATGAACTCAGGCCAGGCTGGGGACGTCGATTCGGTGGTTTTGTCATGCTTTGCCATCGCTGCGCGTGAGCTTCTTATGATTTTCACTTTTCTCTTTATCAAACATGATTTCCTTTTAGTTTCTTCCAGTTGTGTTTGTGTGGTGATTTATGGGGAATGGGAAGAGGAATTTGAATTCCGTTCTATCTCTGTTTTGATCTGTGTGTATTAGCCATTGTAGTTTTTTTTTTTTTTTTTTTTTTTTTTTTTTTTTTGTTTTTTTGGCTAAGTCGTTTGAATGTGATTTATGTGGATGGGGTAATATGTTGGCCTTTTGGCTTTATCCCAACTTTGTTTGATGAGTGTGTTTGTGTGAAAAAATGTTTGATTGGATTTCTGCTTTTGTTCTACTTGTTACATTTTTTTAAAATTTTTTTTATATCTTGATATATATTGTCTTAGGGGAATTTAGATTTTTCATATTTTATGTTACCATTATGTTTAATTTAATGGATGATAAAAAATACAAACATGTTTAATTTGATAGCTTTTTGGTCTTTTCATGACTGATTAAATTTATTTGAAGGAGATGTAGTAGTTACATGAGTTGGTTGGTGTTGGAACATGCTTTGATGCTTAGGGAGGTGATTTCTTCTCTGGCTTTTGTTGTGCTGTTAATATTGATAAATAGCGGAGCAACCCACTCATTGAAGATGGGTGATTCTGGCTTGTAAAATATTGGAACTTAAAATCAATGTTGAAAAAGCAGGACCATAATTTATTTATGGAGAAGTATGTGAAGCCTTCTTAAAATGGACATATTGAAGATGATAAGACATTTAGGTTGGTCTTGTTCATTGGAGAATGAATTAGGACAATTATGATTTGGTCTTCTTTTTTTTTCTTTTTGTGCAATGTGTGATTAGTCTTAAGTATCATAAATAATGTTACTAACTACTTTTCTGTTTTTTACTGCATAATTACTAATCAGTTTGGCATGTTAACAATGCAATGTTTAGCTCTAGTAGTTATTATTATTATTATTGTTATTTTATCCTTTTATTTCTGCATTTGAGTCTTGAGGCCTTCTTTTATTGTTCATTTTATTCAATGCAATCCTCTCTAGCAAGTCCAAATTGGTTTCTAGTTTCTTTGTTACTTTTGTTTATATATTTTATGATAAGTAAGCTTCCTCCTTTACTTCATTGCTATTGAGATACAGTTAGTAAGAGGTTTGTAGAAGTAATCTCACTCTGTTCCTCTTGAGATTATTACACAAAGTTTGTCAGCTGTTTTTTGTTCATGTTGAAGAACAAGCTGACGAGAAAGAAGCAAGATGTCTCTGGTGCTGCTATTGTTATAGGCCTTCTAACTTTTTCCTTGTTATTGTATTGCCAACAACGATTGACTGATGGTTTTAGAAGTTGTAAAGGTGAAGCGGAGAAAAAAAAATACGAGTAAATCTGCCCTACTTGTGGTTGCCATTGTCATTTTTGTCAAGTGACACTGGCTACCATTTCCTCTACTGAATTTTTTTCGTTTTTTTTGAAAACTTTCATTCTGTGCTGCTTTTCTGTTTTAGTAATGTAAATCTCGTTCTCTCTTTGCCTATACTTATTCTATATATTGATATGAACTTTGTAACCAAGAAAAGAGGAAATGAGTGTTTCTCCATTAAGATGTTTTGTCAGTCTTGATGGCCAATAGTAAATGAAACAAAAAAGGCTCCTTTGGAAAGGGGATGACTTTAATTATTAGCATTGAAACTCAAGCAGTTTACCAATTAGAGAAAACATAAAAGTTCATGAATGCCTTGTTAATATATCATCACCTGAATCCCCAAGACATCATCAAATTGATGTATCAAAACACAATCTTTACCTATTAATGTGTCTTAAATGCAACATGGGTTCAGTAGTTCTTAATTTCTAGTCTTGTCAGTGCTTGAGGGAGTAGTTCATCCATAGAGTACTAAGAACTTATCCATCTTATTGAGTTTTTCAATGTTTCCTTCAAAACTTTCTTGTCTACTCATTGTTGCTTATGTTTCAGATTAGAGCCCAAGAGAAGTGTGAGTTTCGCATTATTTATCTTTTGAAAAGGAAAAATTATCTCTCAAATTTTTTTCTTTGTTTAAAGCTTTCAAATTTTCATATTGCTCAAGTAAGTAGTTTGTGATTAAAATGGTTCAAGAATTCCTTCTTTCACTCTATAAATTTAACTACTGTTAAAATGTGTGTAAATTTGTTGTTAAAACTGAAACAAAAACTTGATGTATTTGCCATAAGTAATGAATTGTACATCAGCAACTGGTCGTGTTTGCCAATTAGCGGAAGCAAGTGAAAGTGGTTTTAAAGCATGCAGTTAGCCATCATTTGATCTATTATGGAACTTCATTTAGTATTATAGCAAGTAGTGAGGTGGCATTATTTTTACTTAAAAAAGTGAAGCGACATCGTTTCTGTTGACATTATTGATATGTGAACCTTTTGCTATGGACCTGATTGTATTAAATCATCCCAATATTGTCTTGGATTTTGATTTTGATACGACGTCATTTTTGTTTTGCTGTTTTAATTTATCCGTATTAATTGTGTTTTAGCCATCATATTCATTAATTATTATTTACCAAATGCTTTACTTATAAGTTATTTTTGAAATATCCATTCATTAACATCTTTGCACCCTCACATGTGTGTGCATCTTTTCCATCAGCAATCATCATTGCCTTTTGCTAAGTGAATATGCCATTATTGACATGTTAATAGCTATTACTTACAGAAGTTTGTTGTTAAGCATGTCAATGTGGAGGCTTTGGACATGGATAGTTTCCTATTTTGCTCATCTGTGTGTATGTATTAGACTCAGGAATGGGAAAGGGGTGGGGTTACCATTAGCTTTAAGATTCTGCTTTTGCTTTAAGAATCATACTTGGCGTTAATACCACACATGGTTTGATCAAATAGCTAGCTGTTTTGTTTCACCAGTTTGTTTTAAATGGTAGTGGTTTTTTTTTTTTTTTTTTTTTTTTGTTACCTAAAGTTTTAGATGGTAGTGTTGAAATTCATATAATGAAAAAAATTAAATATTCATTTATCTCGGCATTAATTAACTATCCGTATTTTCTCTTTGGTGCCTGTTAATAATTGGCTCCGTTTTCCTTTTCTTTTGCAAATTCAGATCTGCTTATGAAGATGGGACTTTCTGTAGCATTTTTCACCCAGATGCCAGTGGTTGGAGAGTTTGTGCTACTTGTGATAAGGTAAGCAGAAAAATCCCTTTCAATTTTGTGTTTTTTAATGGTTTATGTAGGTTTTGCCAAAAAAAGAAGATTATATAGGTGATTATATGGTTTTTTTGCTGGCTTTGACATTGATTAAACGTACACAATGTAGAATTTATCTTCTGGTTTCTAGCTTGCGTGTTGGGTGTACTAAACCATTATTTTGCTGCCCAGCCTCTTCATTGTGGATGCATCATGTCCGCCCTTACACATACCATATTGGATCTTGGAGGAGTACAATGCATGGACTGCGTCGCAAATCGAGTTTTGGTAGGAATCAACCATCTGGCACTTTTCTTTTGGTTCTCATTCGTCTTTATACAACTTTTTTGGGCCAAGCTGCTAAATGAATTTCATTAGTATGAACAAAGTTTAGAAGTGAAGACAGACTACTTATGAACTAGAATGTTGTGATGAAAATTATTTTCCTCTTTCAACATGGTATCTCCACTGGGTCACTTAGTCATCACTTCTATGCAAGTATGATATTATATTTATTTTATTATTAGAAAATACCCATGCATGTATGATTTATTTATTTAGTTGCATTTGGACAAGAAATCCTTGAACAGCATGAAATCCTCTCTGAGGCATTTTTTGCATATTAGGAATTAACTTCAGAGTTTAAGACAGGTATTACATGTATTGATACTGTACAGTGTGCTACTTCATAAATTATGCACAATTTGCATGATGATGAGGGTGATCATATTAATTTCTATGTGACATCAGTACTCAAATCTTTTAAAGTGTAGCATAAGATGGGAAGGTGATAGCATGTTCAATGGTTAGATATTTTGAGATGTCAGCTTTTGGTGGAGAGTGATAATATCCTAAATGCATAAATCAATTATCTGTGGATATTTTTCATTCAAAGCAGTAATTCAAATTTGGCCAAAAAAAGCACTAGTTCTTTTTCTTTTTAATTATCTTAAATGCTGGATATAATGTCAATGTAGTGACCTAGCATACACTGCTGTGCTGTTACATTATAACCTTAATATGGAAGTATGTAATTATCTGTTTGGAGTTCGAAATGCATTTTTTGGTATATTTATAGATAACTTAGATTCTGTACTGGTTGCCTTTTGTTTTCATGGTATTGATCTCGGGCTACAGTTTATAATGTTGCAATTATGTTTTCCTTGTTGATGTGAAATCTCTTCAGATTTTATTTCATTGGTAAAAGATTTACACCGGGTATGGCCAAAGCTATATATGTTCTTTTCCTGCCTCACAAAATTATTTATGTACTGCAATTTTGTTATCGATAGTTTTCTGAGAGGCTTGTAAGTTAGCAGCAAGCTTGTCCCTGAATTTCCTAGTTATTGAGATTTTTAATTTTGAGTTCTTCATATGTTTTTTATACTTCATCTCCTCTTAAATTTTGCCTTTGCTTCCTTATTTTTCAATTTGATGTTTAAAATTCTAAATCAAGACTTTGTATTTATGTTTCAGCCACCACGCCGCTTACCACCCTCCAGGAACCCTGCCATGGGCCCATCTGAAGTCAGACTATCTGGTGAATCTCAGAAACTGTTCATTTGGGATTGCGTCAGTATCTTAGTCCTGGGAATGAAGGGAATTGAAAATCCATTTGTCCTATGAATCTCTAGCAATTTTCATACTTTCTATGTTTATTCATGTGTGTTTGCATGCCTGTATGCTTGTCTTTCTATGCTGATTGAAAAAATGTCTTGTAGGAGAAGAAAGAGTCAAACACTTGTACTATTTATTTACCTAGGGACCTAGAAGATAAAATAAAAGAGAAGGGAAGAGAAACGAGAGGAGATAGATAGATCAGTTTTTAAGTTTTTTGCCTTTTTAGTTTCTTTTCCGGGTGTTATTGGTGGGGCTTTTAATTATTTATTATTATTAGCTGTAGTGATAGTGGCTTTTGATTAAGGAACAATATATAGAATAAAAGGGAAAATTGCAGGTCTTTAAATCTGTTTCAGACTCCCACTTTGGTGTTTCTCTAATTGCTTATGCAAGGATAATAGAGGGAAAGTTGAGGGTGAAAAAGTTCTGGTTCTGAGAAATCCTTCTACGTCATGCTAAATAATGTCTTAGTCCTGAAATTAATATTCAACTCTATCAGCAAGGTCAGTTTTTGCAGAAAGTGTTTCATAAAATAAACAATGATTCCAGATGAATACTTGCATTCTTCTCATCTTCGTAATCCAGATTAATAAACACACTTTATTTAATTCATCTAGTTTTTGTTAGAATTTAAAAAGTGACTTTTGCACTGCTATGTTGGAATTGACTTTGCAGCAGATTCAATTCCACCCAGTTCTACAGTGACTTATGGGTTGCCAAATAAGACAACTGTTCAATTTGCTCCTGGAGCAGCTTTGGAAAAAAAGGCTTCTTTGCATGGAATTGGAGAAGACGAGCCCTCTGTTAATTCACCTGATGAAAATGATACGTCTTCTAACAGTGACAAAGATACTGAAAAGCCAGAAAGGTCCACCATTAGAAAGGCTTATATACATGCTCGAAATATGCCAAAGAGAAATGACGAGGAGCTAGAACAACTCTCCAAAGAGTATCCACTAAGTTTGAGTACTTTATATTATGTTTCTGAACTCCCCCCCTCCCTTGGATTTGGATTTATATTGAAAGCTTAATGGGTGCCATGGTCATACAATTGTTGACACATATGCAATTATCTGTTCTCTATATCTTCTTCTTTGAAGTTTGAAGATAAATAGCATCGAAAGTCTTGTATAACTTTTATTTAAGAGCTTGGTCATTATACTGTGTCCTTGACTATATTAAGGTCAAAATCTGTTTTCATTCCTCTCTTTGAGAAGGCACTGACTGCCAGTGATGCTGAACCAAAGAATGGGCGCCTCATTCTACCAAAGAGATGTGCAGAGGTGAGTCTTTTTCATAATTGAAATTTGTTGATGGTTTTTAAATTTATGTGATTGCATTTGCTAGGTCTGGCTTGTGCAGCAGTTGTAGTAAGATCCTAACTTGCTTGCTGGAGCTGCATCAAAACATAGCATCCCAAGTCCTGAAAAGGCTTGAGAGGTTTATGAACTTAGTATTGTTCATTGAGAATATGATATTATTATGCCAGTGATCAAATCATTAGTTGCTATTTAGTCAGTGATCCTGACAAGGACGTGGTAAAATATTCAAGTTGTGTATGCTAGAGGTCTTTGCCTCTGGCATCTCATTTCATGTGATTCATCCCTTTTGTTTGTTTTTTTGCCCTTCTTGAAAATCCATTTTCCATTGGAGGATAAATCAGAATCTTAGTCTAAAAGGAAGGGGAAGTAAGAATGTGCATGTGAGTTCATTTTTCTGTCAAGATAAGAGATATATTCTTGTTATAGTCTATAATAATCTTCCCTGGAAAAGTAATTTTTACTTTGAAAGGAGAGAAAGGGGGAACTAATAATTTTTTCCCCATTTGAAGGTATGAACAGAGTTTTGTTATGCTTTATAAAATCTGGCAATGTTATTTTTCTGGAAAAGTAATAATGTAGGTTTAAGATTTATCGTATTAATAGAAAGAATAATACAGGCTTACCTCCCTAAAGTTACTGCTCAACAACGAGTCCCCATCAAAGTACAGGACACAAGGGGAAATGACTGGCAATTTTACTATAGGATTTGGGCAAATTCTAATGGCAGGATGTATGTTCTGGAAGGGCTTAAAGAGTATGTGAACATGATACAATGGGAAGCAGGTGACACAGGTAAATTGCATAATTCATTGGCCATGTGCCTGACCAGAAATTTTTTATTGATGAGTTGTGATATTCACTATTCAGTCTATTTTTAATATTTATTTATTTTAACCAGTATTTTAATCCTACATTTTTCTTTCTCTCTTTAGTCTTTTTCTCTCTTCTTACTCTTTAATATGATTGAGTATTTTTTTGGATAACATGGGTATTTGGAACTTCAGCCAAACTAGTCACAATTGAGAGTATCACTTTGTGCTTTTCTAGATGTATTGACTCATCTAGAGTTTAGTACTTCTATATGATTAGTGTTAGGAAATTACTTGCTAAACCATGCCCTCAATTTATGCTTATTCTTCATGCAACTCAAATCATCTTGCGTTGCTACACCTAAACTGAGAAACAATTAAATTTTACAGTGTCTTCTTTAGTTAACTTGTGAATACAAAAAGTTACTTTTAACTAAACACTGACTGACATCTTTCAATTTATCAGTTGTATTTTACCGGAGAGAGCCAGAAGGAAATTTGGTTATAGGAGTCTCAAGGGCTCAAGCTGGTGAATCAGGCCAGAAGGTATGGCATACTAAATAACAATGTCAGTCAAAATTTATGGTGCTGGATTCACAGAACATTTACTGTATTTCATTCATTATTTATGTGCCCACATATGGAAAACCCTGAAGATTCCTTTTATGTGGATGGTTGGTTTCCTTTCATTAACTGGTTAGTGATAAATACTGGGACCAAATTACAAAGGATGTCAGTATTAATTGTGTTAAATAGTGTAACAACAACTACTCCTTTTCCTATATGAAAGGTAGAAGGCATTTTCTTGAAATTATTACGGTCCTCAATCACATAACATCCATCAATAGTTTATATCTCTAGCATTGGCTCCATAATTTTTTCTTATGATGACATTAATTATCAAGAATGTAGTTGGGCAGAACAAAGTTTCCTATGGCTATGGGCCTTAGTGATGACCTATAAGCATCCAGCCAAGAATGAAAACTTACTTGGTTATAATTTTTATAGCATAGGAAGAAACAATCTAAAAACCCTTAAGGATAGTGGAATCAAAAACTATTAAGCCATGATATACTATTTCATTTTCCCCTTAAGCATGAGATGCATTTAAGAACTTGCATGTTGCATGCATATATGTAGGAATTGGTATTTGTTTCTGCCAATGATTATCTGATGTAAGCAGGGGCTATCAAAACATAAGTTGTACTTTGAATATTGAGGTAGTCAAAGGTCTGACTCTAAGCAGTGGGCAGAGTTAAAAAGCTTGAAAAAGAGCAAGATTGTGTCTTAATGTATGAGGTGGAAAGTTGATATTTAACTCATGCATTTGTAATGAGCTATTCAATTCATATGAGGTTCATGATAAACCTTTAGTTCTTTTATCTTTCTAGAATAGTTAAGTTCTTTTTCAGATTAGAAAAATCATGAATAAGTGGAGAGGATGCTAGTCTCAGCACAGGTGGTATTAATGGCTTCTTTTTAGAATACAGCTTTCTATATTGGGCTCTGAGTTGGGTTTGTGAATTTTATTTATGCTAAGGTGTTTATCATTCTAATATTTGATGCCTTCTTTTGCCAGAGTTCAGCTTGAGGAACCGAAACAAGAGTATTACCCTTAAAAGACTGGTGTGAACCCTGTGCTTTTCAGGGATGATGTTGGAGGTCTTTTTCTGCTTGCACCTTGCTGTAATCAGTCAAACTTTAGTATGTTGATGAGTCTGCTTGTGTTTCAAAAACTCAGTCATCCTTTTCTCTGTTATTAGCCAAACCTTCAAGAAAACACATGCGATTAAATAAGCTATGCTAATATGCAGTTTGTTGGGAATATTTTCATAAAGTTTAAATTGTGTTTTGCTTGTAGTACAAGAAATCTAAAGGGGTGAAGTTTATTAAAACCCAAAGTAAGTTAGATGATTGCTGTCTAGCATTTATTGCAATACTTGTCTCTCATAATCATATGGCCTAAACTAGAAATCCATGCAACTCAATGGTCCTAACTGGATCTTGCTGTCTTTAGTCTAAAATAGTAAAAATCTTGCTTTGTTTGCTGATGCTTTCAGTTTTGGTGTTTGTTTTCATAAAGCTTAGGTTAGAAATATGAATTTAATATGTAGGAAATTAGAGCAAACATAAGCATGAGGTTCACTAGAAAATATAACTTCTAGATTTATTCATGATGAAACTTTCTAGAAATCATGTTTTGGTTGCTGATGAAATACTCTTTTTGTGCATCTTTTAACTTGCTGTGAACACTTATTATTTGAAATGTTAAGCATTGCAACTAAACAATATTTTGTTATGGAAACTAAAAAATATCCTTTAGTAACTCAATTTTTGTGAAGCTTGACCTGGTATAAAATCTAGATTTAAGCAGAAAAATAATTAAAAGAATGGGCTAAAAAATGGTGTGCCTGCATCTTTGAAATACAATATTAATCAATTTTTATTGCTGTAGGCATTTAACTATGGAGATCCTTGGGTAGATTAGTTTGAGGTTACTGAACTAATACAGGCAAATAAAGTATCAAAGATGCGGTTACTGACAAT